AACTGAAATATTTGCATACAGATGAATACATCATATATTTAGACCGGCAGACTATAAACTGTAATTACGTCTTATCTTATCAAAAATCTGTTGTACTTTAGGCAACTGAAGAATAACAAAAATATTAGAAGGATACGACATGGCAATACATATTAAAATTATGTATAATACAGATTTGTTAGTTGTATTCTGATGTATTCGAATAGTTTTTGCAGCATTTTTTTAGTTATATTCAGTTGTATTCATATCAGATCTTCGATAAAATATGTCTTGTATGTGTTTGAATTTAGTTGTATTCATATGTATTCATGGCAGTTGTATTATAAAAAATGTTTGTATTCAGTTGTATTCATGTCAGTTATTTCAGAAAACAATTAAGCTATATAATACAATGACATTAAAATAAAACTTACAGTCATACGTGTAGACATTGCCTCATTCAAAGTCAGCATCTTCTGGTATTTTTTTCCAAGCATCGTGTATGTCTGTGTAGCTTCTTTGCGGTTACTACAATCCCAATGTTCAAACATCTTCCTAACTTCTTCGAGGAAGTCGTATATTGGCAATTCCCTTGCTGAAACTAGTGCGACATTGATTGACTCAGCAATATTTGACGTCATTGTCCATCCCCTGTTAACAGGTGCATATAACCTATCCCACTTTTCGTATCCAGCTAACTCTAAGTATTCTTTCACCCTAATATCTACCTTCTCCACCTTCTCCATCAGACTGTCAAATTCAGCTTGTGTGTATGCTTTTGCCATCGAGAAGTATATCTCGCTCAACTTGGCATGGCTCTTTTTGAATTTCCTATATACGTTGTTCCATAGATGCCATATACAAGCAAAATGCGGTACATCTGGATACACTCTCGATACAGATTTAATGATACTCTCATTTCTATCTGAAACCATGCACATGTTTTCCCTGTCACCGTATGCTATCTTGAATTGCTCAAAGAACCACGTCCAAGCGGCATCATTCTCTGAATCAATAACACCATATGCTAGTGGCAATATATGACCTGTAAATACAATTGAATACATATTTTTAAAACATGTATTTCAATCTTTAAAATATTAACAGAATGTATTATAATTGAGATACTCACCTGCACCATCCAACGTGCTTGCCGAAACGAATGTCCCGGTGTAGTAAGATTTTAGGTGACTTCCATCCACAACAACAATGGGTCTACAATGATCAAACCCCTTTATAAAGGCATACAAAGATATATACACGTACATGAATTTATTTTTTGGCGATTTTACCATTCTGATGTGGGAACCTGGATATGTCATATCCATTGTATATAAGTATCCTGGTAATTTTTTATATGAATCAGCCGGTTCACCTCTCAAAAAAATCATTGCCTTTTCTTTAGCCCTCCACGCCAACATGTAGCTAATATCTACATCTAAATCTGATTTCACATCATCAATAATATCCTTTGGGGTGTATTTCCTCTTATGATTAGTAAGCTTAGGCCTTATCATACCACCTATAAGGCTGCTACTTGCCTGCCGCTGCTCATACACCTTGTCCTTCAGCGGACATGTATGATTATCATGAATTCTCTCACTTTGAATAGTTCTAATTTGATGCTTGAAGCCTTAAAACTCCATTCACAATCTTCTGAAATTCATAATAATGCATAGCTGCAAAGAATTAATCATTGTACATATGATTAGCATAAATGTTTACAAAAATATGCACTCATATACACACGAATACAATCTGACATGAATACATTCTGACATCTATATATATAAATTTTTATACTACTGAATTCAATTATAGTTATATGCATTTAAATACAATGAATACAACTGAATACAATTGTGGGTATATGCATACACTTAAAATCACAGTAGACAAAATAAGAAAATAATTAGAGACATTGTAATGTATTATACCAGTAAAATACATATGAATACATGTATTTAAGGACCATAAACAAACATATGTTAACTACATCAGTGATAATCAAGAGGAACTCCACAAATACGCATAAATACAACAACGTTAATCTTACAGCTCGAACCAATAATAGAAAATACAAAAAAAAATTAAATAGATGCAAACCTGACAACATTAGACCTATCAACCCGGAATTGAAACCTTTGAGATATAGCATAATTCTCCATCACCTCTTTCAATGTGGCCTTATCCTTATACACTTGTCCAGCCATAACCTCCCTTTGATTAGTTTTTGAAATTATCAAATCCTTGTCCAGTTCGAACACCCAATTGCTTCTCCTGAATTGACAAAATCTAGAGCCAGTGTATCATCTGTATCGGAATCGTACCTTTGAACTACTTCGTCTATTTGCACAATGTCGCCTTGATTTAAACTACCTCCGGATACAAGTTCTTTTTCAATAGTTGTTATGCACAAAGGATACATCCCGAATTCTCTGTTCTCTTTTTTCAATTCTACATACACTCTGTAACCCATATCATTGTGTATTTTCATTGGCGTGCAATTTTCTTCTACTTTGTATTGAATTTTAATGGACTTTGAGCTCAAATCTATGCCCAGTTGATTAGAAATTGAAGCAACCAAATCATTAAAGGACGCATACTCCTTTATCAGTATTCCCTCAATTGAAAAATCGATGTAATTGCCCTCATCATTCCACTTGCCAGAATGACGCAACAACACTGTTAAACTTGCCATATGTATAAAGGAACTATACCGCATTTTGTATATAATTTGTATTAATCTAATTTTTCGTGGTTGAATTGATATCTGCTAACAGAGAAAAGGGAAAAGTGAATGGAAGAACTTCGAACAGATGTTGCTCTGATTTTTGCTACTTTTTTTTTTTTTTGAATCGTGTATGGCAGAATACAGATTAATGGGTACTAGTTTTTGTTCGTTGAGTTAAATTAGGAGAATATCATGTGATTTGATTTCCTTTCCGTTTTTAACTAGTTTAACCTTCCAGATTTTACGCAGATACGTTACTGTATTCACGATAATGCTGCATGAATACAGTTAAATACATATCAACCTTAGCTGGAATTCCCTTTTTAACGCCTATTTTTTCTATTGTATTAATAAATACAATAGCTTAAATACATAAAATACATTGTATAAAAACATAAAAGGTATCTATAACACGTAATATAGCAAAAGGTATCTATAAATGGCTAACTAGACCTAAAAGATGGTGCTTTATGAAAAATTCTCTTTTCAAATATGTACAATGTGGGCTAGGTTGGGTAAAACTTAAAAACATTGGCTATTTTTTGCTATGGTGTGAAGTCATGTGTATTTTTTTGTAATTCATTCACATTTAAAGTAACTTAAAACGTGATGCAATAAAAAATTTAGGACATATAGAGCGAATAACTCAAGGCAATAAATTTTTTTGAGTTATACTACTGCAGCATAATATGCATACTATATAAGTTACAGTGGCATCCTTACACTAAAATTCAAGGCCTATGTCAATGCCACGAAATCGGTCATGGCAAGTCACTATATGGCATGACATCAACCGGTGACGGAGCTAGAATTTTTGTTAAGGGGTGTCAAAATATATAAAATAAATATATCAGGAAATTAAGGGGAGTCAATACATAGCATATATGTACTTATAATATATATTCAACAGTGGCAAGCCTATGTAAATGGCACGAAATCGGCCGTAGCATGCCTGTCAATGGCACGAGGTCGGCCGTGGCAGACCACTATGGCTCGAGGTCGGTCTTGTCATGCCTAAGTAAATAGCACGGATCGGCCGTGGCAGGCCACTATGGCACGAGGTTGGCTGAGGTCGCCTTTGCAATAATTAGACGAGTCCCAATTCTGCCTTTGGAAATATTAATTTGAACAAGACTGGTCAATTAGTTTGAAAGCATGAAGATCTCTGGAGGTTTATTGTACTAAATCTGATATGAGTTACCTTTGCTCTTTTAATAAAATTTATCAAGCTACTTCATATAGTTACTTGCAATTAACGTTAATGTAAATTATATTAACTATTTGACAGATTAATTAATCGAAAAAGTCCTCAAATAGCACATAACTGTTTAATTATGTCGTGTTAGAGAGCATTTCAAGTACTCTAGAAATCGAAAGTGACGAGAAATGCCAACTTAATCTAAAAGCTTCTTTACCGAAATTTGAATTTGTGATTTTTTATCGAAGGAATTAGATGACGGACCACTGAAATCATGTAATCAATTCGAATTCGATTATAAGGATTCAAAATATTAGGTGAATAACATAACTTAATTTGGTTATTTGGTATTTGCAAGCAACATTACACGTGGAAACATACTGATAAAAAATCATTATTACCTTAGTAGTAGCCGTTTAATATAATCTTATTAATTAACTTTCTTTTGCACATCCTTTTGAGTAGGGTGTTTTGCAACGTATGTCTCAGAGATCACTTTACACAAGAAATATTGTACGCTCAAATATAAAAAGAAGAATTAATCAAAATAGCCACATGTACAACTGTCTGAACTAAAAATAGATGGCGGATGTATAGTATGCGGGCGGATTTATAGGTTTAATTATGGGGCACGTGAACTTATGATCTTTCCGTAAAATTAAATATTTAATGTACATATTTTTCAAAATTAATATAATATTAACTGTTGGCATCCATGCTCCAAGAAGGTTAGAATGACGCACTTGGTATAAGACTGAGTTATTTACCAATAGGTGTAGGGATCAATTGCCACTATATACATTTTTGTCTCCGTTTTTTAAGCAGTGCACCCATCTACGAGAAATCCTAAATACAGTATTTATATAACCAGGGACAGATGTAGCCCTATATATATAGCAACGAGTTCAATTCCCCAACCACATTTTATTCTAACCTTTGAATCCTTCAACATAAATTTCTCTATATATATACTCAATATAACCATACATGGATTTACACTTGCCTATAACTCAATCCAAACAACAATTTCCACTTCCTTTAATTTCCTCAAGATCTCAAGCCATTCATTCCAAATCATCTTTTGCATAAATGGCCATTTTCAAGAATTGCTTTATCTTCTTCTTTGTCATTACTTTTTCCTTGTCAAGCATTAGCCATAGCTTTGCAGCTCGTAGCCTATTGCAAATTCAGCCACAATTGCCAAAAATCCCAAATATGCCAATAGCCATATTGCCACCATTGCCATCTTTGCCAACTATTCCTTCATTCCCAAAGGTTATGAGTATGCCTCCATTGCCTGCTAATTTTCCTATGCCAAATATTCCAACTACTTCATTTCCCACTATCCCAAATATCCCAACCCTCTCACCACCCCCTTCAAACTAATGATCACACCAAGTACCCATTGTATATGTAATTCTGCATCATTGAGTTGTATACTTGAGTTCTTTATTTTTATCTTTATATACTTTGATCGTCAGTAATTTCTATAATATGATTGTAATTTTTTTTGTTTTTGTGAGAGCTTGTATTGGGAGTCATGTACTTCCAAGATTTATGTCTTTATAGTTATATGGTGCATATTGTTCTTGGTCTTTTATGGAAGAGTTTGTTATGGTCTTCAGTATTTGAGCAGAAATTTTAAACAGAATTTTGTTGATGCTAAAAATGCATAAAGTAACCAAAGGCCTTGGAAAGTAGTAATTACAATCACAATACTATGAAACAGCACACTAGATTGCTGAGGATAAAATTATAAGAGTAGCCTAAGAAAAGTCCATTTTTGCAAACGTCCAAATACGGAGGAACCAGTATCCACCAAAACTTATAGCCTGTTTGGCCAAGCTATTTTTGGGTCAAAAGTGCTTTTGGCCAGAAATTGAGGTGTTTGGCCAAGCTTTCAGAAAGAAAAAAGTGTTTTTGAGGAGAAATAGAAGCAGTTTTTGAGAAGCAGAAAAAAGTAATCAGTTTCTTTCCAAAAGCACTTTTTTGAGAAGCGCTTTTGAGAAAAATACACTTAGAAGCAGTATTCAAAAGCTTGGCCAAACACTAATTACTGCTCAAAAGTACTTTTCAAATTAATTAGCCAAATACAAACTGCTTCTCACCAAAAATACAAATAGCTTCTCACCAAACACACTTATCAAAATAAGCTGATTTTAGAAACTTGGCCAAACAGGGTATTAGACTGATCAGAAGAAATAAGTATACCATGTTCTTTACTATTTGCCAAGAGCACCTAGTTCCTGCTGCAGCAATGAAGTAGAAAGAATTGCATACAAACAGGGGAACCAACAAGTTGCTAAAGGGCAGCCAGGTGCACTAAGCTCCTGTTATGCGCAGGGTTCGGGGAAGGGCCAGACCACAAGATCTATAGTACGCAGCCTTACCCTGCATTTTTGCAAGAAACTATTTCCACGGCTTGAACCAAGAAGTTCCTACCTATTTCAAATTCAACAATGTACCATATCATTACAAGAAACTTGCCTGAAATAAAGGTCCAAATCAATTCTGCCATATAGGCATATTTGCATCTTAATCAACAAAGAGACCTATCATTACTCATCACAAGAAACTTCTAAACTAATGCAGCTGTTTAGACTAACTCAAAAAAGAACCAAAAAGCTACACATTGCAATGAAAATAAAGATTCATGTCAATTCTCTACCTTTTCAATCATATTTGCACTAGACTTTTAGCATCAGTATCCACCTATTCAAAAAGGTGCCAATTTTGGTAACATTATATTGATTTCATAGTATAATAGAAACATATTAACAGAGGAGACAACTTACTTAATCACTTAAAAAAAGTCTCAATATCTCCAATTCCCACATCAAAATCATCTTGTAAACCAACATAGATATTATCATCATCTCCCACAAAAAACTCAACATTACTCTCATTAATCTTAATCTTTTCTCCACCATTACCAAATTCAAAATCATCATTTTCATCATTTCCTTCTGAATAAACAACCTCACTCATGTTAACTCTATTCCCTTTTCCTAATACCTTCTTTAAACTCTTTGCCATCATTTTTATCCTCTTCTTCCTAGTACCATTACTTTTCACAAATGTCTTTTCAACCCCTAAAGTTTCATCGTTTATACCATTTTCATCCCCCTCTGATGCCACGTCATCATCATCACCATCAGAAATTTCAATAAACTCATTCACATCAAACTCATCCTCCTCTGCCACGTAATCATTCTTTTTCACAAATGGTGACCACAAAGACTTTCCTCCTCCTTCTAAACCCAAAACAGAGAACCCATAACAATAATACTCACCCTTCTCCGCCACGTCATCCGGCGGAGGTGGACCCACAATAGGCAGCGCCTGAAACCCACGTTTACACTTGTCATTCTGACACCTCAGCAAACAATCTACGTAAACCTTAGGAAACTCATACACATAGTAACAGTACGGACATACAGTCCAAAAAGTAGTACTACCAGTTTCATCAGTTTTCCCGTCTTTTTTCAACCTGTCATCAAAACGGGTCTTATGGGTCGGGTTAGAAAGCACAGACCAAGCTTTAAGTACAACCTGAAAAGCCTCGGAGGCAAAAGGGTACTGATTTCTACTAGGGTTTAAGAGATTAGTTATATTCGTGAAGTTTGTTTTGATTAGTTGTTGATCTTGGGTATAAAGAGGAAGGTCAAGGACATTATAGTAATTTGTGTCTTCGGCAATGGAGGAAAAAGAAAGGACTTTAGCTATGGCGAGGATTTGTGAAGGGGAAGGGTTATTTGGGTCATTTTGAAGAGATTTCAGAGCGTATTTAATGGAGTCTTGAAAATTTCGATGTTGAAGAAAGGATTTAGAGGCAGTGAGATAAGTTTGGGCTTTTGAATAACTGGAGTTGCTGCCGTTTTGCTCCATATTTTTTGGTTGCAGAGATAATAGAGAAGAAGGTGAAGGGGAGGAAGCTTAAGGGTTAATTTTTGAAGAGGTGAAATTTTGGATGTTTTCGGAAGAAAAAGTGAAATGACGATTTTGGACATGGAGGTTTTGGAAGAGGGTTTAAATATGAGCTTATTTTTGTAATAAATCGCGGTTAAATTAGTGATTAGTGTAAAAGTAGTTCAATTATATATAATTGCTATAAAATGAGTTTAGATTATATATAGTACAGGTCGGTGTAATTTGCTTGGATCAAAAAAACAAAACTTTTCTTCTCAAAATGCTCTCGGCGCACGTTAGTTAAACGTACGCCGAACTCGTATTCATGGCGAGAGGAAGAGGTAGAGGAAGGGGAAGACCTCGGAAATATCCACTAGCAGCACTAGAAACACTATTAACTGCAAAACGGCCATTAATGGAGAAAATTCCACCAGCTTCAATTCAAAATCCAGCTCCGGGTTCAGCTCAAAGTTCCGATCTTAGCAAAGGAGCAGTTGTATGTACAATTGGAGCAAGTTCAAGTCAATCAAGTGTAGATAAGAAGCTAGATCTGACAAGTAACTCTCTTATAGAAGTAGTATCGGAAGGGATGGAGAAGCAAACCAATGGAACAGTAATTACGCAGAATCCAATCGAGATACAGAGTGACCTAACTAACAAAGAGGATCCTCTAGTAGTGAAGAAGGACCAAAAAGACGAAGATAAGGCCCCATGGACAACGCTCTTCCAGAAGAACAGATTTGCGTCTAATGGTATGTCACTTTCATACATACCACTATTGTTAATAGATGGTGAACCTGTGGTCCAATTAGATAAGGCAGAGGTGGAAGAAGAATAAGCTAAATGGAAATGTGCTTTGATTGCTTATATTTTAGGTGATGGACTAGGGTATAAAGCAATGCAAAGGTATATTAGTATTCACTGGTCTCATGTGCCTGAACCTGACCTGTTTTATCATGAGGAAGGTTACTATATAATCAGATTTAAAAATATAGAAGATGCTCGTGAAATTTTTTGTGTAGGACCTTACTCCATAGCTAGTAAACCTATCATCCTAAAGCCATGGACCCCGGATTTTGACTTTACAGAGGAATTTCCCACTTCTATTCCTTTGTGGGCAAAGTTCCCTAAACTTCCTATGTCATGTTGGGGTATGAGATCTTTAAGCAGAATAGCAAGTGTGATTGGGAAACCTATTTTTGCTGATGAATGCACAACAAAGCAGAATAGAGTTTCATATGCTAGGATGCTTATTGAGGTTAATGTTACTAAGGAACTGCCAAGTGAAGTGTGGGTGATGGAACCAAATGACAAAAAATTCCTACAGAGTGTATCTTTCAACTGGAAACCTGCTTACTGTGAGAAATGCCTAGTAGTGGGACATAGATGCCAAGCTCAGATCAAGACTGGTGTTCAAGGACCTCCTAAAAAGGGTAGAATTACCCAAGAGTGGAGAACTAAAGTATCAGCTCCTAATGAAGAAAAACAGGAGATCCAACAAGGCAATAATATCAAGATAGTAGAAACTCAACAGCCTAAGGAGAAGGTTCAACCAACAGGTGATCATAACATTACAGGGAAGGGAGATTCTGGTCTCAGGATGGCTGACTTTCAGCAGACTAAGGAGAAGGCTCAACCAATGGCTGATCATGATAATACAGGGAAGGAAGATAGAGGGAAATCAATACAAAGTCCAGAGCTGAACATTGTCAACTTTCCTCCACTATCACCTATTCCTGTCAATAATAGATTTGAGCTTGTGTCTAATAGCAAGTATAATATTCCACCTAGTGATAGAGGTGGAACAAGCTATCAAAGATGAAGTGGCTATTCTGGAACATCAGGGGTGTAAATAAAAGGTATAAGCAAAAGGAAGTTAGGGAATATATTAGAAGTAACAAAATAAACTTAGTAGGATTAGTGGAAACCAAAGTCAAAGAAGAAAATGCTCAAAAAATATTGAAGTATATTGCTCCTGGCTGGGATATTCTGACTAACTACAGAGAAGCTAAGAATGGTAGAGTATGGCTGCTATGGAACTCTAATATTCTCATGGTTACTAAAATCAGAGATGATCCTCAAATGATCCACTCACTAGTTCAAAGCAGACAGGGGGATATCCAATGTTATCTGACTGTTGTTTATGGATTTAATGGGTTAGAACAAAGAAAGGAACTGTGGTAGAATCTTCAACAAATTGCTACAATTGGTACTAACCCATGGTTGGTTGCAGGTGACTTTAATGTTGTTCTGTATGCTAATGATCGATTGTCTTGTAATCCAGTTAGTTTTGCAGAAACTCAGGATTTCAGCTCATGTTTGCAACAAACAGCATTATCTGAACTTCCTTGGCAGGGTGAATACTATACTTGGACAAACAGGCAACCTGGAGTAGATAAGGTTAGCAGCAGAATTGATAGAGTTCTTGGGAATTATGAATGGATGATGAACTGGAATCATGTGGAGACGGTCTATGATCTGCCTTAGATATCAGATCATGCCCCTATGCTTCTAACTCTTACAAACTCATCTTGGAATGGGAAAGTTCCATTTCGATTCTTCAATGCATGGACTAACCATCAGGAGTTTACTCAAATAGTGACTGAAGGGTGGAATACTATGAACTCTGTTGGTACTATGAAATCTGTTTGGTATAAATTGAAGGCATCGAAAGCTCCCCTAAAAGCTTTGAATGTTAAAGAATTTAAAGGAATCAATCTGAGAATTGAAGCAGCTAGAAGGGACCTTAAAGATATACAAGAATAGCTTGCAAGTAAGTATTCAGATAGTCTTTTGAAAAGGGAGAATGAGACATTACTTAACCTAGAGAACTGGTCTACGATTGAGGAGAATATACTGCAGCAGAAGGCAAGAGCTAAATGGATCCAACTGGGAGATGATAATACCAAATATTTCACAGCTGTTATGAAATATAGATCACAGATGAAACAAATCAATGATATTACAACAAGGGGTGGAGATAGAATTACTGATCCTGAAGGCATTAAAGAAGAGATTTTGGATTTCTACAAGTCTCTTATGGGATCAACAGCAAGGACACTTCCAGCTATAAATAGATCATACATGTCCAATGGTCCCAGACTAACTCAACAACAAAGAAAAGACCTATGTGCAGATGTTACTGATCAGGAAATTCTGGAGAGCCTAAAAGCTATTGGAGATGATAAGGCACCTGGTATTGATGGATACAATGCTGTCTTTTTCAAAAAATCATGGAACATTATTACTAAAGAAGTCACAGATGCTATTAGGGAATTCTTCTTAACCTCTAAGATGTATAAGCCAATCAATTGTTCCACCATCACCCTAGTGCCTAAAGTCACTAAACCTACCACAGTCAAAGAATATAGACCAATTGCATGTTGTACAGTATTACACAAAATGATCTCCAAGATTCTAGCTGCTAGACTTCAAAAGATCATGGCATGCATAATCTCTGAATCCCAAGCTAGTTTTATTCCTGGTAGGAAAATTGCAGATAATGTAATATTGGCCCATGAGCTAGTAAAGTCTTATACTAGAGCCCAAATCTCCCCTAGGTGCATGATTAAAATAGACCTTCAAAAAGCCTATGATTCAGTTGAATGGATATTCTTGCAACAAGTGATGGAGGAGATTGATTTTCCTGATAAATTCATAAAGTGGATCATAGAATGTGTCACATCAGTTAGTTACACAGTGCTGATCAATGGAGAAACTACTAAACCTTTTGAAGCTGCTAAGGGTCTTAGACAAGGAGACCCCGTCTCTCCTTTCTTGTTTGCTATTGTTATGGAGTACTGTGTGGATGGCCTACACACGCGTCATGGATTGCCATGTCTCAGCGCATGCCAGGTCTGAGAGCCGCGTAATATGGCGTGGTTCCGTGCTTTGGGGGAAGCTTGTCATGTCGACCCAGTCCAGCACCGTCTCGACTCCGATATGGATGCAATCAAAGATCTTCTTTACCCTTCGTTCTTTATTTTTTTGATATGGACATC